GAGATGAGATGATGCAGGGAGATGATGATGCAGGGAGATGATACAGGGAGATGATGCGGGGAGATGATGCAGGGTGCTCCCTGATCTGCCGGCCTCCTCCCTGGTTATTCACAATTAGATTGTAACTCAAACTTCTGGAAACCGTTGGGAGAGATAAGAAATTCATTTCACTGTATTATACTCCAAATTGTAAGTGAGATTCAAGATTAATTGTCTAATAGGCTGAGCTTTTAAATTGAAAATTTCCTCCTTGTTGTTTTATATCTGAATGATTCACCATGAAGGTTGGTTTGAAAAGTTTCAAAAATATTGATGTTATTTTATTCTCTTCATTTAAATTGAAGTTACTATTTTTATTTTATAAATTATATTCTGGCCACTTCTTTGATCTCTCAAACCATCCCTTTCTTTGTCATTTTTAGAACCAGGAAGGGTCTTATTAAGCCTGCACATAGAATACAATAAGCCCAGTAGTTGCTCCCTTAGCCACACTTTCACTTTCAATGGCTTCAGTTACCTGCGTTCAACCACAATCCGAAAAAGGTTAAAAAGAAAATTCTGGAAATAAAATGTTCTCAAGTTTTTAAAATCGAACAGCATTCTGGATAACTTGATGAAATCTCACGTGGTCCCACCCTGTCCCTCCTGGGGGGCAAATCGTCGCTTTGTCCCTTAAACACTTTGTTGAAGTTCTCTGCCCAAGAATCACTTGTAGAAATCTCAGTTACCACGTCAAAAAAACATCCTGTATATAGGGTTTGGTGCTAGCCATGATTTTCAGCTACTGCTGGGCAGGCCGGAGCGTGTCCTCTGGTGTACAATTCTTTGGTCGTGGGTGGCGCCAAAGTGAAGCATACTTTACACAGAGATGTAGTTCATACTATTTTTCCCAGGAAATGAGAAACCAAGTATCCAATTCCATATTTTTATTTTGGCTTGCACATATCATGAAGCAGATATATTTGTTTTTTGTTTTTGTTTTTGTTTTTTGAGACAGAGCCTCAAGCTATCCCCCTGGGTAGAGTGCCATGGCATCACGCTCACAGCAACCTCCAACTCCTGGGCTCAAGCGAGTCTCCTGCCTCCGCCTCCCAAGTAGCTGGGACTACAGGCGCCCGCCACGCCTGGCTATTTTTTGGTTGCAGCCGTCATTGTTGTTTGGCGGGCCCCGGGCTGGATTCGAACCCGCCAGCTTAGGTGTATGTGGCTAGCGCCTTAGCCGCTTGAGCCACAGGCGCCGAGCCGAAGCAGATATATTTGACGAAAATAATAGCTCTCCCAGACTATGAGAATTACTTGGCACTATCTCATCCGCACAGGCTGCTTCAAGGGGCAGAGCTATGGGGTTGGACTCCGAGCTGCACGTGTAGGTCACTGGTATGGGGTTGGACTCCGAGCTGCAC